TGCACTATGCATCCAAAACAGCAATTATTAATGAATTCTTAGGCAATTCAAAATACACAGATTCCTGAGAAAGACCCAGGCCCTGCCCAGGCTCTGGTGACCTCTCTACAGTGTCGCCCTCCCAGTGTGGCCTATGCAGGCACAGGGAGCTGCTACTACCTGTGTAAACCACCTCCAAGAGCTCCTGGGACTGCTGGAGAGTCACAGCCACAGCTGTTACCTGGGAACTGACTCTTGCCCTGAGGCCAGTCTCTACCCACTGCTGTGCAATTGTGTCTGTGTCTCCACCTTCACCTTCCCTGGCCTTTGTTCTGCACCTTGCAGGACACCTTCGCATGCCCATGGGTCTCCAGAGAGGTAAACTGAAGCACAGAGAGAAGATACAGCTTGCTAGAAGTGGTCCTCCCCGGAGTGGGCCGTCCTGGGGTCCAGCAGCAGAACTTCCTGGACAGAGGGGGCTGAAGGCAGCCTCAATACCCCATGCAGGCACTGGAAGGGAGGTACTGTGGGTGTTTCCAGAAACCTGTCACAGACAGGACAGCACGGGGATTAGGAAACATGGGATTTCAACCATGTGTGGACAGACACCTATCATTCTGCTCTAAATCCCTGTGACCAGGTCCTCCTGTGCTGCCTTCAGCACCCCCAGAGTCACCAGCTTGACCTCCGGTCCTACTTGGGCACAGGCTTGTTTGTGTTTGTCCATGGCCCAGAAGGCTGTGGGTACTTGAGGCGACCATGCACGAAGAGTTGGGGATGTGAGTGTCCAGACAGAAGCCTTTCCGTCATGTGGCAGGGAGTGGCAGAGGGGCCCAAGATACACACTTCCTTTCTTTATGCCCTGACCCAACCTGCCACCTGTGCCAAGGTCTCCCTGCCTCAGTTTCCCCTTGAGGCAGTAGGCAAAGCTCTGAGGTGAGGAGCATCCCTGTGTCACCCTGTGATGGGCGTGGGTAGCTTTCCCTGGTAGGATCCCCAAATCCCTGGCCGGGGTCTGCCTCCTACCTAAAGCCTGCTGTCCCTTTCTCACACAAGTGGAATCACTCAAGCCCTTGCGGCACTTTTGTGAACTGGCCTGAGCTCGCTTTACCCCAATTCTGGAATCACGTTCCCACCAAAAGAGTCTTAAGACAGTGTGCAGGAGGCTGAGCCAGGAAGATCTCAAGTTTGAATCCAACCTTGGCAACTTAGTGAATACGTATCTCAAAATAAAATTTAAAAAGGAGCTGTAGATGTAGCTCAGCATTTGCCTAATGTGCACAAGGTCCTGGGTTTAATCCCCAGTAAGGGGCAGGCTGGGGGCAGATTTAAGTCTAAAGGAGAAACAGCTCCTTAATCTTAATGGTGCCAAGACTGTGCCCTTTTGTTGCTGGGGTCGCAGTTAGCTCTGCTGATACAAGTCAGAAATGGTGACTTTCACATCTCTGGCAGACACATGCACACATGTACCTTGGATCCTTGGCATAACCCTGAGTCCTCCTCATCTGGGGCTCCTGTAACCAAACCCCAGGACTTGGAGCTTGACAGCAGGCTTCACTTCTCATGGTTCTGGAGGCCAAGAGTCCCAGGGCAAGGTGATCCACCTGATTTCCTTCTTGCTGTACCCAGGGTGACAGGGGGAGAGAGAGCTGTTTGGTGTCCTTTGTTTTTCTAATAAGACACCACCCTGTTGTGTTAGGCCCCACCATTATGACCTCATTAAATTTTAAGTAGCTCTTAAAAGCCCTAGCTCCAAATACAGTCCACTTGGGGGTTAGAGCCATGAATTTGGGGGCACAGGCATGATTCAGTCCAGAGTGCCTGGCTTGACCTACGCCTTGCCACTTGGTTTAAACATGCCCTGATGATACTAATCCTTCTCACAACTATACCGTGACCAGCTGTATCTAAACATAATGGAGCAGGTGGTACCAGAGCTGGTTCTTGGGTCCAGAGACAGAAAAGGGGGGACCCAGAGGAAGTATTGGCACAGACAGGGCTTATTGGGGACTTCTGTTCATACTAGAAGGGAGCTGAAGCTCTAACAAGGGCCAGCCCAGGCCAGCATGATCCCAAAGGAAAGGGGTAACTAATAAAGGAAAGGTTCCTGACTCAAGTCCTATCCTGGTCTCATGCAAATAAGGATTTCAAGGGTGCAGAGAGCGCTTGTCCTGATTGGTCAGTGCTGAGCCAGGGGTGGGCAGCTCATTGACTACATTGTGCAGCAGGTTTCAGGAGGCTCAGATTCCCTGCTCCTGTCCTATACAAGTGGGATACTTTTGTAGCTGTAGTTTTAGCTCCAGGTTTACATGTGAGCCTTTTCATGTCTTTGGTTGGTGTCTAGTTTTTACTGAGATGTGCTTCACTTCATATTCCTAATGGGAGGTTGGTGACAGATTCTGAGGCAAAAAGAAGGGACTAACACCCTGTCCATGGAGACATTTTCTAGTCCTATTGCTGGTACCAGAGGTTAGAATGTTGTTTTCAAATTTGAATATGTTTTCCCATCTTTTAAGGCTGGTTCCCTGGTTACTGTTCCAAAGACCTCTGGCTGTCCCAGATGAAACTGCAGATCAAACCTGCTTGATCAACACAGGGTATCAGCGTGCGGCTACCCTATCACCTCAGGGACAGTGACAGGACCCCCTCCCAGGGGTCCACCAGGTCACTTTTCCCCATGGTCCCCTCTAGATGGAGCCAGGCCCTCGCATGGCTGCCAAGACCTCTACCTGGAAAGACACTTGCATTCTGGAGCTATTCACCGAGAAGAGGCTGGCACAGCACACAGAGAAACCCCAAATTAAGGTGCTTGGCTTAAAAGGAAATGTTTCTCCAACCCACAGTTCCAACCCACAGTGTTCTCAGTGACCAGCACACCCCATAGCCTCAGGAGGTGCTGTGGGACATTTCAGTCTGTTTTCCCTAAAAGTGAACTGTGGGAGGTGCAGGATCCTGGGATGCAGAGCAGGGAGAGGTGGGAACCTAGTAAAACCTACACCCTGCAGCTGGAGGCCTCCGGGTTTCCTCTGAGGAGCAAGAGGTGCCAGAAGCAGCACCGAGCAATTGTGGGTGAACTTGGGGCGGGGCCTGGGGACTTGGGCTGAGTTCCTGTGCAGTGGATGTGGCTGGTGTCTCTCAGACAGGCCTTGCAGAGCAGGAGAGGGAAGAAAAGGCAGGAATGTGAAGCTGTCATGCAAGCTGTCCCTCCTCCCCTGCAGCCTCTTCACTGTGACCATGCCTGCTACATCCCGGACTTTTCCTAAGGTGACTGAGTTTGGTTACTAGAATTTGCACCCTAACAGTTCTTCTTGAAGTGGAAACAAATTCCGGCTCCCTGGGCTGTCACCCCAGCAGCTTTTGCCCATGGGGAGCCTGGATGTCAAGACCTGAGACCCGCTGAGGGGTGGTTGGTATTGGAGATATGGCTGACTGGACCCAAGATATGACATCCAGGCCTGGCTGCATGCAAGATGAAAGCAACCAACTCAGTACTTACTGTACAAAGAGGTTTTATTTGCTTGAGGCCACTCAGTAAATATTGAACAGTGACCATCCAAGACAGCCACCAGATACAAAAAGCAAGGAATGGTGGCTTTTAGTGATGTCAGGACAACTAGAAAGTGATAGTAAATGATAACAAAGCCCCCAAAATATAACAGATTACCCCCCCC